CTTTCCAAGCACTCATAAAAGGCATCTTTGGTCACATAGTCCTTCTCTTCCGTCGGAGCRTKGGCGCAAATAAGCGATATGTTGAAGAACATCGCTTTGATGTGGATTGTGGCTAGACGTTCATTCACCGGGGTGAATGATATTACTCGGCGACGGAGTCTCTCTCCCAATACGAATCCCACACCAAACTTGCGCTCCTTTATATGGCCACTGTAGTAAATGCCACAAGGACCTACTCGTCTCTGTCCTTATCCCGTCCATCGCATTTCTTGGACGGCGGTGATGTCTGCTGTTCTTTTGTACTTTCCGAAATCCAATGGTTTCGGTTGCAGCTGTACGTAAGGAGTTTGAAATGCCGTCCCACAGTTCCCTTATACCCAGTGGTTGACGAGTGCTCTCAGAGAGCAGGAGTGCACGCCGAGTAGGAAATCATTCGGCTGTGTGTTGTGATTGCAGCTTCTCGACTTCGAACCTTCCTTGTGTTTGTTGGCGTGCATTTTTTGCTGCACGGAGGCGGGTGCGAATCTTGGCTGCAACAAGATAGTGGTGATCTAGATGGTGGTTTTTCGATCCGGAGACAGCCAGGTAGCTTGATGTATCATCTTATGCTGGAATCTAGTACTACAGATAACCCTATTTCGAATTTATGCATGGAAAAAGTTAATTTTGTATTAAGTCTACAATGGATACGGTGCTAATCTGAGATATATATACGGTTATATTCATATAAATGAGCAGGATGACGAGAAAAGTTGAAATCTGGATGACTGTCTGTCTATCCGTTCCTCCGTCCATCCGTGCAAGCTGCAACTTCAGTAAATATTGAGATATAGTATCTGAAACTTGGTATCCGAGTTCCTTAGTACAAAAGAAATTTCGTAGATGGGCGGACAACATGCCCACAAATCACCTATAACCGAAAGCATATAAAGTATCATAATTAAGCACTTAATTAAGATATAAAGCTGTAATCCGACACAGAGAATAGTAGTAGCAAGGATCACCTGTGAGAAAAGAGTTTAATGTCCATCTCTCCTAAACCACAAAAATTGCAGTAACCAAATTTACTGAGTACAAATCTTACAAGAACTTCCCACATAACGGTACTGTTAAAAACTACTAAAAGCTCGATAGGTAAATAACTAAATACCCCTAAATACCACCCAGATGGTATCAGACAGTTTTCTGGGAGCCGGGATGAAAATCTGACGACGGGCGTCGCACCGCCGACTTCTTGGCGAAATTTCATATCTTGGGACCCGACCAAGCGATTTCGAAAAGACTCAGTATGTGGCATTTTTCTTACAATCTTATATAGCAGTGAAAGAACAGACCAAATCGGACAAGAACCACGCCTACTTCCCATTTGCACAATATTAAATTTAACTTGATTCGTGCAGTTTCCAGTACACAAACCGAAAAGTAAGTAAGTAAGTAATATCGCTTAAAACCTATGGAAACTATTCCAGGTCTTAGGTACCGAATATTTAGACCCCGGTACGTATAGTTCACTTTTGATCGAAAACGTGGGTCAATGTGCGATATATGTATATAACTGAAATTAAGGGTTAATTCTTTACTTATAAGGGTTTGTCTGTATGTCAAAATTGGGTTGAATCGGACAAATACTTCCCTCGGCTTATAAAGATTTTCGAACTTCTAGGGTTCTTTGTACCACATATTTTTTATCTCTCGAAAACTCGCAATGTCGCTCATCAGTTTTTGTTATCGTCCAAGCATCTACACCCTAGAGCAGAACGGGAATATTGAGTGACTTATAGAGTTTGGTTTTTATTCGTAGAGAGAATACCTTACTTCTCAATTGCCTACTCATTCCGAAGTAGCATCAGCTGGCAAGAGTTATCTAGCGTTGGATTTTCAGGCTGACATCGTTGGTGGTATTTATACTGGTTCCATGTTAACGAAATTATCTACAACTTCAAAGTTATTACTGTCAACAGTGATGTGAAAGCCAGGTGGCGAGTGCGATAACTGTTTGTTTGATGACAGGAGATATTTCGTCTTGCCTTCGTTCACTGTCAGACCCATTTGCTTTGCTTCCTTGTTCAGCCTGAAAAAAGCAGAACTAACTAAGCGGGTGTTGCGGCCGATAAAATCAAATTTTTTTTWAATTTTTTTTTATAACAGCGAGCGAGGACTAGGTCTAACCCCTATATAACTAATATAAAGATTTTCAAACATCCGGCAGACTTTACTGTATACAATTTGTTTTACACCTGAAACTATTTCCCTGGCTTTGATTCGTGCAAGTTGTAAGAATCAAAAATATCCGGTTGCACCCAAACTTACCCTTTTTTTACTTGTTTTATTGTGGGTATAATTATATGCCATGACGTTTCGACTGGAATTTCGGTTATAGCGCGCTAAATAGTGTCTTCAAGCTTCTTGAGCGTTGCTGGTTGATTGGCATGATCTTGGCGGCCATTTCAATGAACCTTTTCTCGAAAATAACAAGTCTTGTATAGTCTAGATGTGAAACGGCGCACCATGTTGCTGGAAATAGAGATTGTCCGGGTCGATTTCTTCAAATTTCGGGAAAACAAGTCGGTCAATATCGTGTTATAAACCTCGCTATGGACAGTAACAGCATTTCCTGTCTCGATTCGAAAGAAATAAGACCCGGTGATGACGTCATACCACAATTCTCACAAAAGGATCACTTTTTCGGGATGCAATTCCGTTTCCTGAACCACACGAGGATTTAATCATCCCAATAGCGAGACTTTTGTTTGTTGACGAAAACATTACGCCAGAAAGGGAGTTTGGTTTGACGTAATCATCTTGAACAATTTCCTAGCGTCGTACCAAAATAAAGCGTGACATATTGAAATGGCAAAAGTTATTAAATACAGAATTTGAAACAAATCCATAAACAAACATGGCCAAAAAGAGCTGTCAAAATCATGTCATCCCTATTGGTAGACGCTGTACATTATTTGTTATGCCTACCGTTGTTATTGGATACTCTAATCCACCCCAACATTTTACAAAGAAACTGGTGTACATGTAGTATTTACTAGACAGTCATAGAAATATAGTGAATTTATGATAACTTTCAAAATAAAATGTCAAGGATAAAGCCGCTTTGTGTAACGGAAGGACTCCGGGATCTTATAAAAAATCTTACAAAGGAAATTTTAAATAAAAAACCTCTAAATATTTATGAGTTTTCGGCGAATTATTTTGAGTCTGTGATTGATGAAAGAGAAGTCTTTAATAAGTACCAAAACTTTGAAGCAATTCTAAATTATGAAACTACAATAATAAAAAGCAGCGCTGTTTCACTTCAAACACAAGTTCCTCTTTCTCTTCTTCGTGGTATAATTCCTGAAGAGTTATTTGAGCTTATAAAAGAGTTTATCAAAGCTGTTTTACGTACAAATCCAGACAACATTTGTGAATTCGCATTCCAATATTTCAATAAATTAAAAGAACAATATTATGGAACAAATTGTTTAGTAGAATATGGTTCGTACGAAAATTACCTTAAAACTACACAGGACTTTTCAACCTATGCAGATGAAAAATGTACTTGTGGCCGATTTCTTACTCAAAGGCAGAAGAACCAAAATGTTCACTCCGATCTTAATGACCCTAGAAATTCTAGTGAGATAAGACATATAGATTTATCAGCATTCAATAAAATCAATAATCAAGAATTTAAAACTGTCAAGTTAATAAGTAAAAAAAATACTAAAATTATTTGCGAATTAGATATGTATAAGCAGCAAAAGTACATATCTGCTATTGTTATTATTCAACGTTTCTTCCGACATATTTTAAGACTACGAAAACCTGAAACACTTATTATAAAAGAAATTGTTACTAAAGAGCTAAGCGAGCCATCCAACATTAAAGTTTCTCCGGGGCTAACCTATAGAGATACATCGAGCTGCAACAATGAAATTTTCAGAGGTACAAACTTACCAAGGGCAAATAAAGGTATGTGTATACTCATTCAATCGCATTAAACTAGGATGAAAATAAGCAAGTTCACCCAATTGATTTTTCCTTTTTCCACCAATTATATTTTATTCAAGTACAAGTAGAACGGACTGTGACTATGGCATACATTAAGTACATGAGGACTTGTTCAATATAATGAAAAAACTTTCACGAACAAAGGATACATTATTTCCGGTATCAAAATCAAGGGAAGTGCATTTCAGATTTACTTTTGAAAATTAATTTTGGAAATCTTAACTGAAAACTGATTTTTTTGGCATTGATACTTATTTAAAGACTCGGCAAAACTTCAACCAATGGGAAGAAGACTGATATCCCGCAACAAGACCATTTTTCCATTAAAATTCTCAGTCATAATTAGTGCTTCAATATTACTTCCGGAGCGGATTTCACCAATATTTAACATGAGGAGGTCGAAAATGCAGAATTGAGCATTTTCATTGTTAAATGAGAAAAGTGACGCTAATTTCAATGTACGCTTACAGATTCGCATATTTACAATGCACAAACCGCTATGGATATTCTCCATATATTTGATAACAAAGCTCAAATGTATATATTTATATACATATGTTTGTACATAAGTGCAATTTGACCCATTTAATGATGAATTCCATTAAATCTGTGTAAATGTATAATTAAGTCATATTT